GACTTTACCTCTTCAGCCTCGATTTACTATTCCGTTGTTTGTTTGTCTTCACTGTAAACATTTAGACATTGTTGTGATGATATTGGATAAAGTGACTATACAAGCACAAAGAGAAAATTAGGAAAACAAAATGGTGGCTGATCACCTTATTTTATAAATCTATCATATAGTATTAAAAACAATCTGAAGGAACGTGTCAAGAAACAACTAACTGAAACAGGCCAAGCTGCTGTGTTTCTGACTTCAGCTTCCGTTCATAACGATTCCTGCTCCCAGTTTCCCTACACACTGATCCCTTATTTCGGCTCTCCTGCACAATGTCCACTGTCTTTAGCTCTCCAGTGCACTGACCCCTGCTCCTGCATCCCATGAACACTGACCCTTTCTCAGTAGAAAGAAAGCTCCTCATCGTACTGACCCCTGCTTCCATCTTAACTTCACACTGACCTCTGTTCTTTGCTTCCATACATACTGATCTCTTCTGGATCCTCTACACAGTGACCCCATCACCCAACTCCCCTGGACATTGACGCTGGACATTGACGCTGTAACCCGGGTCCCTTGCATATTGATGGCTCCTCCTGGCTCCTCTGCACACTGACACCTTCACCTGGCTCCTCTGCACACATGTTGTCCTCGCTTCTTTATTGCATATACTCTCCGAGAGCCCTCCTTCTAGTTGCTATCTGCTGTTTTACTGACTTTACGCAACCATTTCTGAGTCTTCTCCAGTACTTGCAACTAACCTTTTGTATTGTTTGTCAGACATCTGTCCATATCTTTGAATGTCAATAGGCTCCCAGCAAGTAGGTGATTGATGGGGCAGTCTCCAGCTGGTCCACATTGGAACTCAGTAGTAGATCACTTTCTTGTTGACCGTGGAAAACCCCAGTAAATCTGTTGTTCTCCCTTAAACAGAGGACTTAAGCCTAATACATGCAGTCAGAAAATCGCACAAAAAAACCCCAAAAAACAGATTTCGAAGCAATCGTACGATAAGCTGATTGTTCGTCTGAAATTATTCGAAGGAACAAGTATGAAAATGTTCCTCATACGATACCCGATCCTATGATTTTCTTTTAATCAGCACAGTTTTCTTCCGAAAATACAATACATTACATTACGGAGCTTAATCTGCCATGTGCAGTAAACTGTAGCAGCCAGTCTGTAATTATCTGCCATTTTTCTCACTGCTTTCAATTGACAAAAGATGTTATGGTTAATTGTGTTATTTCATTTTTCACAGCATTATTGATGTTTGCTTGGTTATAATAAATAAGCCCAGATGTTTTACACCAAAATAAAAAAATGTTTCTCAGTTAAACAAGCCACCTGTTATTTATGTTCCTGATAATTTTCTCAATTAAATTTGTTCTTTTACTTATTAGATTCTGAATTTTGCTGCTCGAAATGTTGGTTCAGTTTTATTTATAAAAAAACCTAAATGAGAAACATGGCGTAAATTAGAAACCATGGTAATCAGATTCTGCTCCTTACGCATTCGTTTACAGGGAACATATTTCCAGGATGTGAGAACAGATTGAGCGGAAGGATTACCTTATCAATGTGCTGCTACTCCTTCTCTGTCCATTCATACACTCACCGACCACTTTATTAGGTACACCTGTTAAATTGTTTGGCAAAACAAATTGCTAATCAGTCAATCACATGGCAGAAACTCAGTGCATTTAGGCATCTAGATGTGGTAAAGGCGATTTGCTGAAGTTCAAACCAGATATTAGAACGGGGAAGAAAGGGGATTTAAGTGACTTTGAATGTGGCATGGTTGTTGATGCCAGATGGGCTGCTCTGAGTATTTTGAAAAACTGCTGATATACTTGGATTTTCATGCACAACCATTTCTAGAGAAATTGAGACTCATCAGATCAGGCAACATTTTTACAGTCTTCTATTGTCCAATGTTCAAGCCTGCTTCCTGTTCTTAGCTGACAGGAGTGTCACCCAGTGTGGTCTTCTGTTGCTGTAGCCCATCTGCTTCAAGGTTCAATGTGTTGTGGGTTCAGAGATGGTATTCTGCATACCTTGGTTGTAATGAGTGGTTACTTGCTCCTAGATTGTAAGCTCCGAGGAGCAGGGCCCTCCTATCCCTCTTGTATTGAACTGTACTGTTGCTGTATTGTCTCACGTTATATTGTAAAGCGCTGAGCAAACTGTTGGCGCTATATAAATCCTGTATAATAATAATCATAATAATTTGAATTACTGTTGCCTCTCTGTCATCTCGAACCATTCTGCCCATTCTCCTCTGACATCAACCAGGCATTTTTGTCCATACAGCTGCCGCTCACTGGATATTTTCTCTTATTTGGACCATTCTATGTAAACCTTAGGGATGGTTGTGTGTGAAAATCCCAGTAGATCAGCAGATACTGAAATACTCAGATTAGCCCATCTGGCACCAACAACCATGCCAAATTCAAAGTCCCTTTAAATCCTGTTTCTTCCCCATTGTGATGCTTGGTTTAAATTTAAGCAAGTCGTATTCACCACGTCTAGATGCCTAAATGCATTGAGATGCTACCATGTGATTGGCTGATTAGTAATTTGTGTTACCAAGCAATTGAACAGGTGTACCTAATATAGTGGCTGGTGAGTGTGTGTTTTTGGATGTTAACGACTTGGCTTTTCTGTCTGGCTAGAGGGCTAACAAATGTTAATAATTATAAATTCCTTATATGTGACACATCTTCCACCAGTAAAGTGACTGTGGTATTTGCAGGGGGAAGAAGAAGTAGTTCACTTGAAGTCCTGTATACGAAGAAAAACGGATTCCATAGAGAAGAGGTTTTGCTTTGATGTTGAAGGTGTTGATCGGTAAGTAGATATAGTAAGTCTAGAATAAATATCCCTACAGACCCTTTGGACTAAGACTGGGATGCAATTAAAGGACATTTGCTTGTAAAGGCAGGCGTCCCAATACGTTTGGCAATATAGTGTATGTTAAATTGCTCATATTAGTCCTGAAGATTAGTTAAAACCTTTCCAGATATTATATATTTTCTGAAAGCAGAGAGGGGGGAATAAGTTTTTTTATGCTAAACAATATAGCACAACTGTTTATCAAATGGACATTGTTCATACAAATACACTCAAGTTTGGCAACACAAATTTCCATGGTAAACTATAAAGAGGGAGGTATGCACTTAATGTATAGGTATCCAGATGTCCAAACTTTAGATGTGAAATAGCACAGACCTTGTTACTCAAAATTTTCCAACAGGGCATGCTTTTACAGCTTAATCAGGGTCTTCTAACGGTCAAGGAAAAGTTTTTTTTATGCTAAACAATACTAGCACAACTGTTTATCAAATGGACATTGTTCATACAAAATACACTCAAGTTTGCAAACACAATTTTCCCACCTGGTAAACTATAAAAGAGGAGGTTGCACTTAATGTATAGGTATCCAGTATGTCAAACCTTAGATGTGAAATAGCAACAGACCTTGTTACTCAAAATTTTCCACAGGGCATGCTTTACAGCTTATCAGGTCTTTACAAGGTCATTAGCTTAGAATTAAAGCAATTCACCCTAGAAACAAAAAAATTAAGTCAGGAGCTACAAATACTGAAGCTGCTGACTTTTTATAATAGAACACTTACCTCTCCAGGGATCCAACACAGTCCTCACCCAAGATGGCTGTTTGGGTCCCCGGCTTTGGTATGTTTACTTTGGGAAGCTAGCTGTGATTGCTTGTGGCTTCATAGCCGGCGTCCCTCTGCACTTGCGCGAGTGTGTGGTGTTTGTGAATGATCCCACAGCTTTCTGGGATCTGTGATGGCTCCCAGAAGGCAGCTGGGGAAGAGGGAGGTAATTCAATTCAGATTGCCGCAGCGATCTGATCTGAAATGGGAGCAGGTACCTGTCAAAAACTGCTACCTGTCGCCCTCCAGAGATTTTTCTCTTCACTGTCTGGATATTGCATACTGTGTGAGAGTCTACCTCTCTGCTACGACATCCCTAGACAATTGGATTTTTGTCGTTCTTAAGAATTCCTATATGGGTCACCATGCCTCCAAATGCCTAGTGGATTAGAAAACTCATAACTTAGGCCTTGTATATGGGACAAGGTTCCCCCTTAGAGCAAACCCAACTAGATCTGTTTGTATTTCATCTAGTTTTTAGCATCTGTCTTCTGTTTCCCAGATTTGCATGGCTGCAACCCAGTCTTTGGTTCACACATTTGTTAAAGCCCCTTTCTGAGCTAAGACCTTTTTTTTTCCCCCACCGTTCCCTCCCACCCCCCTCTAATTCACAAGGCATGTTCCCCTTTACCTTCTGAAGATAGATATGCTCACCACCAAAATCTAATCCCTGCTGTGAGCAGTAAATTCAGCTGTGTGGATGGTGCTGGAGATCACTAGTCCCCATTCCATTCTCCCCCCCCCCCCCCCCCCCCCCCCCCCCCCCCCCCCCCCCCCCCCCCCCTCCCCCCCCCCCCCCCCCCCCCCCCCCCCCCCCCCCCCCCCCACCCCCCCCCCCCCCCCCCCCCCCCCCCCCCCCCCGTATTGTCCTCTTCTGCATCCTGAGAGGGCCCTGCCATGGGACTTCCAATAGGAAGTGTTCATGTCACAGAGGCACCAACAAGGAGAGACCTAAGCATGAATCAAACAGAAGAGAAGACTCGGGGCTGCGGTGTCATGTGATCGAAGGTAAAGGCAAACAAACTCAGGGTTGGGTTGAAAGTTCTAAGTGGCTTTACCACCTGTAGCCCTGATGGCTCTAATGGACCATTGTGCGCTACCGTAAACACAAATCTGTAAATATCTCAGCTGCCGATGCCCATTAAAAGATAACATGAATAATATGAATAGATGTGGGGAGGCACTTCAAGCCTCCATTAACCTGCTATATCAGAAAAATATATAATGTAAATATTGCACATACGTTATGAAACCATATACTACTCTTACCATGAACAAAATATACCCTTTCATGTGACTGTGCCCTTCTGCACTTCTGATCCCCTCTATACCAGGGCTTGAAATTTCCACTTGCCTGCTCACCAATGGTGAGTGAAAATTATGGTGGGGGCGAGTGTGCCCCCAGGGCCGTCTTGCTGAGCAGGCTTGGAGCTCAGGCCGGATCTGTCATTGGCACTGGGAGCCCTCAGACCGCTCAATAGCTGAGCGCAGTGAAAGCAAATCAAGGAGTGTGTGCTGTGCTATCTGCCTCCCCCCTAGAGTGCAGTACCTGGCTCTGTGAGTGAACAATGAAGTACTGCAACTTTTTATGGGGGGGGGGGGGGTCTGTGTGTATACACGTACATGTGTGTGTGTATGCATGTACAATTGTACGTGTCTGTGTACATGTACATGTGTGTGCGTGTCAGGGATCCCGGTCTTCGCCGTGGTGAGCGAGTCTGCGTATGTGCGGATTGCCCAGGCACATCAGCGTGCGGGCATTGGGACCTGGGCGTCCGCAGCGGCAATTTCGGCCGTGCATGCGCACTCGCGGGCGCGCTCCTGGCACCAATGACGGTGCATTGCGCGCTATTTAAACTGGCCAGGCAATGTCCTCATTGCCGCAAGGTCTTGTTCCTGTAAGTGCGTTCCTTGTTGCCAACCCTGCCTATTCTGATCTATGCTGACCTTCTCCTGCTCTGACCCCCGGCTCGTCCCTGACCATTCCTCTGCCTGACGTTCCTATTATTTGGACCCTCTGTTACTGAACCCGGTGTGTGACCTGACTACTCTTTGTCTGCTGCTTGGTACCGCACCTGTCCCCACTGTTACCGACCCGGCTAGTCTGACTACGCTCACTCCTGGCAGTCATCCATCCATCCCGCTCAGACCTGGACCTGTCAGCCCCTTCACAGCAGGCTCATCCCGGGCACATACCCTCAGCGGGACCCCTCTACCATAGTTTGGTGCACCCAGGGGTCGCGACCTGGTTCCAGTCTTGCACCAAGTCCATCCCCACCATCAGGGGCTCTGGTGAAAAGGCAGACTGGGACTTAGACTCCGCGTCCTGGGGAATCCCGTTCTGTGGACCACTAGAGATCCCGTTGGGCGGAGCCTGACAGTGCGTGTATGTACATGTATGTGTGTGCACATGTACATGTGTCTTTTGTATGTACATGTGTCTGTGTATGTATGTACATGTGTTTGTGCGTGTTTTTTTCTGTGTATGTACATGTATCTGTGTCTGTACGTGCCTGTGTGTGTATACGTGTGTGTGTGTACATGTCTTTGTGCGTGTGTGTACATGTTTCTGTGTGTGTATGTGTGTATGTAAAGGTGTCTGTTTGTGTGTGTTTGTTGGTGGCGAGTAACTCGAAGGCCTGGCTAGTAGCAACACTTCTCATTACCAACTGTGTTTCCCCCCGCTGTTGGAAGTGCACTCACCTTGGCAGCCAGACCTGAACTAATGTATGTTGGACAGGTCAGACTAACCAGTGTAATTTCCCCAAGTTCTTATTAGTCACAACATTTTTTGTTATCCACCTTTATACTCCGTATATGGAAACCTGGTGGACTACTGTACTGTATAGGCATTACTTCTATAATCTTTGCAACTAAAGGAGTCTCCAGTATAATCACTTAATTACTTTATAACCAAAATGAAAATAAAAAATAATAGATAACAAAACAAAAATAACAAGCAAAACTACTGAGACAGAGGGTGGCCTATTTAGAAAATCTCAGTAGTGTTGATTATTATTTTTGTGCAGAAAAAAGTCGAGTTCAAATTATAGTCTTTGCAATTCTATGAGATTGCCATGGCATGGTTACCATGTGGTTCATAATAACTGCATAATTAATTTAAAAGGAGATCAAAGGATCAAGATGTTGATGTGTGTTTTTTTTTTTTTTATTTATGTTTTTATTTTTTTTTATTTTTCACTTGTTTGGTTGAGGTGACAAGGTGACATTCTTGGATTTTTGTTCTTGTTGCTGCTTCGAGCTGTTGTGTAACAGACATTAACACATGAAATGTGTAACATTTTTTCAGAAACAGTAAATACAAGACTAACCTAGAACCACAATAATTTCTTTTATGAAGGTAGTGTCCTTTTTCAGTTAGTACCTTCCCAGCAATTTGCAGAATGTCTGATGGGTAGCAGTCTGTTACAAAAGAAGTTACGTTTTCTGATGTCTTCCTGGTAAGTGCTATTGTCGGCAGCCATATCACTGGAAAACTAAAGATGTAAGAGATGTGAACCATTGTGTGCAATCCTGCCTTCATTTTTTCTCTCTGACTTGCTGCTTTTAGCTGCAGGGCACACTTACCAGATACTTATTTCTGATCATACAACAGTCAGTTCATTTAAAAGATGAGATTAAGAGGTGACAAAACGGAGAAAAGAAGAGCTGACAAATTGGATAGTCATGCACCCATAAATCAATGTCATTCTGTGCAGCTTTATTCAGAAAATGTACCTTTATAGACAGCAGTAATTGAAGGCTGTTTGCATTAGTTATAGATCATTGCTTCCTCTACAAAGATGCAACTCGGTCTTGCATCTCCCTGGACCTTACAAACTCCCTTTTCAAAAGGTATACTTTACCATAACAGCATCTATGCTGCTTAGGAGGAATCTAGAGAAGCAATGCCCTTGTTTTTAAATAATAAAAACGTTTTGTGTACTTTGTTAGAGTGGAATTCTGTGTTTTTACCTAACTAGTCTTAAAAATGCCTCCACCCCAATACCTGTGTATCTCCTCTATGTCAAGCAGTGCTAGCTGCAGGGGGAGGAGAGAGCTCTCAACAATGGTTAGTTATATCTGGGAACATTGCCCATAGGCATACTATGACCCACCCATCCATAGTCTGCACTCCCTCGTTTCCTCTACTGTGGCCACTGACTGACCCAGGGGAGCTGGATCACTTGACTGGACTAGAGTGGCCTCAAACTTTATTTTATTGCATTCAGTCCCATAAGACTAATCTTATTGTGATTTGGTGTGTTTCTATTATCATTGTATATCTAGAAAAATTGGAAGTCCTTCTTGATATCTCCTATCAGGAGTTTATTAAGTCAAACACTGTGCACAATTTCTAAATGGCTATGAGTGCCTGGGTTTCATTTGGTTGTCTTGGCAATGGTGTTTTTGTAAACAAAAGGAGTGCAAAGAGTAATGATGATTAAAAAAGGGCAATAGGATGTTACAGCCGATTAGGTTTTAGTTTAGAGCAGGGGTGTCCAAACTTTTTTCAAAGAGGGTCAGATTGGATGAAGTGAACGTGGTGGAGGGCCGAACATTTTTCCAAACATTCTTTGAACCATTACAATTAAATGCAAATAAATTATTTTATGCCAAGTTACCGTATTTTTCGCCGTATAAGACGCACCTGACCATAAGACGTACCTAGGTTTTAGAGGCAGAAAACAGGAAAAAAAAAATTCTGAACTAATGGACTGCAGACACAGTACAGGAGATGACCAGAGACTGCGGACAGCACAGGGATGACCAGAGACTGCGGACAGCACAGGGATGACCAGAGACTGCGGACAGCACAGGGATGACCAGAGACTGCGGACAGCACAGGGATGACCAGAGACTGCGGACAGCACGGGGATGACCAGAGACTGCGGACAGCACGGGGATGACCAGAGACTGCGGACAGCACGGGGATGACCAGAGACTGCGGACAGCACAGGGGGGATGACCAGAGACTGCGGACAGCACAGGGGATGACCAGAGACTGCGGACAGCACAGGGGATGACCAGAGACTGCGGACAGCACAGGGGATGACCAGAGACTGCGGACAGCACAGGGGATGACCAGAGACTAAGGACAGTACAGATGACTGCTGACCTTTGGGGAGGTGGGGAGCGGGTACCTGAATTTGACAGGTGCCCGCTCTTACTTCCGCAGTTGTTCTTTGATCTTACCTGTTCCTCGATCCAGCTGCGGGCTGTCTTCCCGGCTTCTGTAATGGCGCTCGGCATGACAGCCGGGTGCCCAGTGCGCATGAGCGAGAAGCACTTGCGCTTTGTGATTGGTCCGGCGGCTTCTGGGATCTGTCATGTGTCCCAGGTACCGCCTTACCATTCACAAAAAGCACCGCTTCTTGCGCATGCGCACTTGGCACCCGGCTGTCATGCCCAGCGCCCACACTACAGAAGCCGGGAAGACAGCGCGCCGCTGGATAGAGGAACAGGTAAGGTCCCGCTGCAGAGCTGAGCGGCCGGCCCGGTATTCTGACACGGCCGCGGTGGAAATACCGGACCGGCCGCTCCATATTCGCTCCATAAGACACACTGACACACTGACATGGAGGGCTGTATTAAACCGACCCTCGGGCCGTAAATGGCCCGCGGGCCGGACTTTGGACATGCCTGGTTTAGAGCTTTGTGATCTCAAAGTGAGTCAAAGTAAATCCTTATCTTTTTGAAAATCAAAACAAAAATATAGCAGTAGCAACCTGCCTTGTTAAAGGTTTTGTGTGATTTTATATCTTTGAAATGAGCAGTCTTAAAAATACGTTGATTACTGGAATGAGTCTATAGTGTGGAGCTTTTAATGTAGCTTGAGCTACGGAGCTCTGTAAAGTGCTGGATTTTTACATCTACTGCTAAGTCTCTGGAATACTTGTGAAATGAACACTTAAGTTTCTACCTGCTGGAATAAAAAAAAATATACAAAATGTTAATCTGCAACAATAACCAGACTAGACAAAAAATTGTATTCCTGTCAACCATAAAGACACTGTTCATTAAATCATTACATTTCTCTAATGTAAAATTTAAAGTATATGCCTATTTAAAACTTTCTTAGGTCAGGATAGAGTGACGAAGGGTTATAACCGTTGTGTTTATTACTGTTATCCAAGGTTCAGTAAGGCTAAGTTTTTAGATGTGGCAAGATTGCTTTACAGCAGCATTTTAAAGGCTGTGAGGTGATATGTCTCCTGCTCACCATCTAAGTCCCGTGAATGCCGCACAGCTGAGCTGCAACTGTGTGCATTGCACAGGGATGTTGGCTTGCTCCATTTGCTGGAATATTTGGATAATTTTTTTATGTAGCATGTGAACATCCCCATTAACTGCCTTTGCAGCATAAGGCAAGTCTAGATAAGCCCTCCTGTTTACAATGTTTTACCTGCAGCAACACAAATGGATAAAAATGCTTTTCTTTACTAAGGTAGGTGAAGGATAGAATTTTTATTTGTTACTGTTGTAGATTTTCTGTCACTCACTGTTTAGTGAAATTTAGTTGTCAGCAGTACAGGTAGAAAGGGTAAACTGTCACATAAAAAAGAGCCCCAGATAGCAATAAAAGTAGACAGGAGTTCTAATCCTTCCTAAAGCTTTCCGAAAGTAGAAAAAAATTGCCTTGATACACTTTAATTCTGATATGTGAATCCCTTCATTATGACATTTTATAAATGATTTATTTGTTTGCAGTATGAATGTATGTGTATAAAAATAAGTGTAGGTATATGCAGATCATTCATATACATATATACAGTAATCTGTGCTAGCATATCTAGACTTCAAATATGAGATTGTTTGACTTGTCAGATATGTAACACTCTTAATAGGGTCTTGAAAATGGAGTGTTCATTTCTAGGTTCTGTCACAAAGGAAAATTATTGGGTTTGCTCATAGCAGAGAGAAAGATGTTCCTTTTTTTTATTTTTCAATATTAAGCAATAGCAGCTGAAATCTCTTGACAGAACCTTCATTTTCTTTTGTAATATATTTCTCCTATAGACAATGCCTAGTTTCCTCGTATACATGCCCTTTATTTATTTTTAAAAAACAATAACATGCCCAAAGCAGTAAATGTAATATAATTGCATGATGTGAAATAAGCAATGACAAAAGGTATGACAGAAATTGGATTGCAATATTTTCAGTTGGTCCACAATAGATGCCCTTTCCCCATCAATTTTAAAGATGAAAAGCTTTGTCTTTTAATATAGACTAGCAAAAGTGTACTTGTTCATTGTAGGGGCTGCATATAGAAGAGGGCATCACTGTAGTGGTGGAAAACACAGAACTGCTCAATGTTACAATGGCGGCAAGTTTTGAGGCATGTATCAGTTCACTAGTAGCAAGCGTAGAGGTAGGCATTGGTGCAATGGCAAGTTAAGTTGTGGGTGCATAGTAGAGGTGGTGACAGGACAGAGATCAGATGCAGTAGTGAGAGTAGGGGTTGGTGTGCAGGTATGGTGTGGAATGGGGGTACGTTGTCATGAGAGAGCGAGCTGTCTGGTGTAAGGTGCAGTGGTGGGGGGGAGGTTTCAGGCATGGATGGGAGAAGGGGAGTGCAGGCACAATGGTGAAGGAGGGGGGCTGGCAAAGTGGTGATG